CATTCATTCTTGTGACTTGAGCATTTAACATCGACTTGATGTTCTCAATATCTGCAGTATTCTTGTCGCGTTGTGATTTCATCCTTTCCAAGTTATCGACTCTTGCCATTTGCTTGTTTAAAACAAATTCAACGAGAAAAAACTGGCCCAAACATAATAACAGCACCACTGTTGAAATCAAGATGGTAGACTTAGTTGGTGAGCACATGTGAGCGACTTTGTCTTCCATTTTGAAGGCGAAAGACTGAAATGTCAGCAAGCTATGATCACAACAACTGAATGTGATATGAAATGCAAAATGAAAATCGTGTTATAAAAATTTTGTTTGATGTCTTAACAAACGTCAGATCTATACAGTATATGGACATCCTGTATGGTTGGTTCGCTAATCAGTTTTATGACGCGGTAAAACAGATTGTGTAGCTAGGGGCGTTGATAAATCGAAAAAGGGACGATATATATACTCCATCGTGTCTTTTTTACAAGTTTCTTTCTTTTAACACAGGTCTGTTGTGACTCGAACTTTTTGTAATCAGATGATACTGGCAACTGCTTTTCTTTTTCATCTTTGAAAGAAATGGTTTCATAGCCGATATTCATGATATTCTTTTTGAATAAAAAAATAGCTTATTTGAATTGAAGTGAAAAGACCAATTTGTTGAAAAGTATGACCGCCGGTGTAAATTGAGTTAACAATTGACTCCGAGTATGCTAATTCGTTTTTGGATGTGTTTTGTTTTTCTGGCTTTCAAAAAATGTTCACATTGAAAATAACACATTCGTGGTCTCTCTATATATTGGAAGTAACTAAAAATTAAAGGCAGTTGTTGACGGCATGTGGTTAGCTGTTAGATCTTTTGAAACTTGCGAAGGAACAATTGAATTTAGTAAAATCTATGTTAAATTGATGGATATGGTTGGAATCGAAAATCGTAGAAAAATAAACGATTATGGTAACTCAATTCAGAGGGAATTTTATCGCTAAATTACTTAAGTATAACATAATCTTCCATGGCTAGTAACAAATTGTTAAATTTCCAAAATGACGGACCTCTTTGCTCGCCTTTTGAATGGTTTTAATTTAAGAGTTATTGCTGAATGTTGAATGTGCAGGTATAATGTCAGACCTATCTACAAACGGTTTGAGTAGCTATAGAATGTGCGTTCACCCATCCGGGAGGGCCAAAGAAAAGGAGTTTCTCGTCATAGATTGGTCGAGAGCCCGAACGAATTCATGTTAGAAATCAAATGAAGGCAAATTGACGTCACGTATAAACCCGAGGCAACCGGAAGTCATCTAAAAAAGGAAGTGATGTCATATGAACCAAAACGATTTTATTCTAATTGGTTCGATTTAAAGTCAAACACCGTAACACATATGCACACAATTCTTTAGTAAAACAAAATATGCAAAAAAGTAATGAGCAACAATGAACTGATTTTTGTTGAACGAAGCTTTTTTTCTAAAGTAGAAATTCCAGAACAAAGTTTGTCATCCTTTCATATTCGAAAGTTTTACTAATTTGTATATATAAAGCTGCTTGTAAATTTTTCACGAAAAAACATATCTCACTTCTATTGACGGGACATCAACCTAACGACCCTTTCATTAAAAAGATGCTTGTCAATAATCTCCCATTCTTTCAGATTTTTTTAATCATTTATGTAATCACCTTCTCACTTTTTACTAAATAAATTCGGATTTTCAAACTTCATTTCTGCACAAACCCTAAAGTACAAAAAGAGGTTAAAAAAGGATGACAACTGAATATCTACTCGAATGCACCTTTATAGATACAAAATATAATATACACGAACTAAATATTACAACTTACTGACATAACATAAGCGTAGTAAGTTACAATGCAATTATCAAATTTTAGAATTTACAATTTATATTATAGCAAAAATCATTTCTACTGAAACCTTAAATTGACAACACAAGGATAGAAGGAATAAAATCGTTTATTTATTTGTCTGTATATCAATGTGTACACACTGCTACTTGCTAAGATATTTGTCTCTTAATCATTATTATCCCGTGTA